CCGCTTGTTGTGAAATTAGGGCAGAGGAGATGGAGAAGGGGCAGTAGCGTCTTTCGACAATATTAAACGCGGCGATCCGCGTTTAATAGTAAAATCATAATGGAGTTTTAGAAAAAGCTGTAGGAATGCTATTTCCAAAGAGATGATGGTGTTTTGAAACCACCACCGTTGCAAATAAACTGTCCTAAACCGACCCTTAGTTTGAACACCAGTAGCTGTATGCTTCTCAGTAGAGGTAGAAATGGAAAAGTTGGGTTTTATTTCATATTCTGCTGACATTTCTGTTTCTATAAATGAATCCTTTTAGTATGTCTTGGTTTTTCTTTTTGGGGAAATTTACTTACATACCATCCAATTTTTTTTGTATTTACACATCTAACACCTAAAGTCTGATATTTGCATATATCCTAAAATATCACAATAAAAATACCATCATCAATTTTTTTTTAAAGTGAAACACACCTTTTCATGAGTAGGTTAAGCCAAGGTGATAATAAGCGAAAATGCCAAACTTGGGTGTTATGTATGTAAATTAATAAAATTTATGTGGTTATGTATGTAAACATCCCTTCTTTTCTCATCAACTAAAGAATGGGAAGCATCTCCTAAACAAAAATGTAGCTGGTAGACGGTTAGTGGCTAATGTCATTCCTTTAATCTGAAACTCTAAAAAACAGAGTTTTCTTCAATTTGATGATATGATAAGACAAAAAACGATAGAGCAGAACTCATTTCAAAATTCAAATCTACCTCTTTCAGAAGGGATTTCACCTCACATAGAAGTTCTTCAAGACAGTTAGTAGTATTCCTTCATTGATGGGAGACTTACCGGCACTTCCAACTGAATTTCCATAGCTTCTATGGTTATCCTTCCAAAGCATTCTCCTCTTGCCTGCACAGAAGGGAGATTAAAAATCTAGGCTGTCCAACGTATTTATAATTTTAGGAAATCAAGTACACATTTTTCAAATATACCAGAAGTTATATTAAAGGTGACATTTCAAGGAAAAAAATTTGGGATGTTTTGCAAAAATAAATAAATATTGAGTGAAAAATATACTCTACTTGAAACTTCTTTATAATGAATACCTGACTAGTTAGATGTATGGCAAAATGAAATAACAACACAGCAAGTCCCACTTCAATGGACAATCTGCTCTACCAAATGTGTTGCATAAACCATTAGATCAGTGCATAAACAACGTTCTCATTAAAATAAAAAATGTTTTCATGCATATAAATAATGAGATGACATATCTTAGAAAACTGAAATGGCTAAAAGCACAAGACCATCAAATAGAGTCAAATTAGTTAATCCAAGTTGTGGTTCCCATTAAGATTCTACTCTTTAGTAGTGAGCTTTTTTGTTTGTCGACACTCTTCCAAGTCATTCTTTACTTTAACGAACCAATTGTAATTCTAGATCCTATGTTTCGTCCATACCCCAAATATTTTAATTATTTCAAGGCATTGAATTTTTCTCCAAGATATCACTTACTCATTAGAAGTATTGATTGATAATTATCAATCTCAAGTCTACTAAAATTACATATTATATACTAAATTTTTCATAAGGTTTCTCTTATAATTTTTCTTATTGTTTTAACTTTCACAAATTTTTGAACCATCACATCTTAGAAGATTGATTAGGTGTAGCAAAAAATTCCTCTTTTTTGCGTCTGTGTTTGCTAGCATCATATAAAAGAGAGCATTTCTCCTTTATAAATTTCTTAGTTAATTTCATTTTACTGTAATATATGTAGCGCAACGAATAAAAATCACAAGAAGTCTACGGAGAAAAGTGGCAAAGTGGTCCCCAAGCACTTTATCAAGGACTCATTTTTACCTCGATATATAACGATATCAATTTATTTCCACATTCATTTAAAAAAAGCAAATAATCTTCTTTGGGGACTATTTTAGCCCTTTTAAAAATAGTATGAGGAGTAATTTAGCACTTTTATAGACTCTACGACTGAGATGACGCAGAATAGATAGTCAAGAAGCTATTTTGGCCATTTACTTCAAATTTGAGGATGTTTGAAACCATTCATTTAAAAGAAAAAAATCTGAAAAAAGCTATTGTTTCAGGGAATGGGCAATAACTACACCTGAAAATTTTGCAGGAGCATATCAGTTGCAGCCAAGCTTGGAGTATCCGTGTCTTATTGAAAAAGTGAACTCTGAATTCCTAGCCATGAAGTTTCTAAGGTCTCCTTCAAAGTTTGTTTGAGCATTCATATCATTTCCAACTACGAAAGCCTGAATTGCAAGCGCTTCAAACATTTGTTCTCGGATAAATTGTAGTCTTTCATAAAATGACTGAAGAAATAAATCTTGTCCCTTGCCACATGATACGACTGCAATTTCAATTATTCAGAAAATTAGCATAACATCCTAACTACTATCAAGTTGCAAACTTATTTATTCCTTCAGCACCAGACAAAAAACAGTTAATTCTAATATAGAAAATAAGCGAAGAAGTTTTCCTCTCCAATTTTACACAAATCTTTCCACTATAAACTTTATTGAGACGAAGTAAAGCAGCTATATCAGAATTTGGAAATATATACTCTATTTCAATCCTTCTGCTGACTGCTGTTTAGAGATCATTCACATAATTTCACGAAGGGTAAATCCATTCATTGAAGGGGAAATTTATGGAATTGATAATCCTCTTAATGGAATGCAAATTTTCGGAATGGGCAATTGGCTAAAGGTCCACACCTGCTATAAGTATATCCTGTTTGAAGTTCATATAATAAATTCTTTAATAAAAGGAGGAAATAGATATTTAAGTAAAATGAACAAGAAAACACTGTTTATAATGGCAAAGGGGAGATCTTCATTTAAAATTCCAAGAGAATAACGTATATCCTCCCTGAGAACATTTTGGATAGCATAATCTTCAGCAATTTCCATCAATTATTTTCTAATTCCAAGTTGAATAACTTTCATTTTTGGCATCTGGATACTGCGAGCAGAAATTAAGCAAATAAAATTAGAGCAACATATTACATATTACATACAACAAAAAATTGATGGGAAGAAATGAAATGGAGAGCATAGATTGGGACTGGGATAAAGGCAACAATGCAATCCCCCTAATCAAAAAAAAAAAAAATTATTGTTATAAATAAAACAAAAGGCTTCCCAACCTACAAAATTTATATCAGATTTTGGTTGCCTTGAAAAGTTTCTATTCGTTTGAGAATGATGAAAAAAGTAGGACATCCGATTAAACAGCAACTGGTTCAATTATTTCCTCTCCAACCATAACTATAAATTGCAATTTATCGCCATACATTGAAGGCGTACCTGCACACTAGGTACATGCAAGCGTAATTCTGTCTTTTTCTACAAACACTTGCATTTTAAAAAAAATATATCACCAATAACAGTAGACAGGAATTCATGATATACTTCATATATTTCAGTTCTGGTCACCCTTTTTGAAAGTAAAAATGGCGCTTAGTTCAACCTTCAAAAATAATGAAAATAACGAGAAATCATCAACTATAGCTTATTCTTTCTTATTTAAAGGCAAAAAATTCGCATACAAGAGTGTCGCGGGAAAGAAAACCCTCATATCAAATTAAAATATGATTATAGTGGATGGAATAGAGAGGAAAAAAAGAAATCATATATCATCAATATCATATGATATAATTTCATCCTATAGATTAAAACTAAATAACAAGGATCCTATATAAAACATTGAAATACTCAAACTAAAATGGCTGAAGTAACCCTGATGATAATAAGATGCCTATAAAGTATGGAAAACATAAAATTACTAACATAATAAGGACAAAAAATAAATTGTGGCATCTCCATCATTTGCCCTTGGCTGTAAATCAAGTATTGAAGTTTGCAAATGGCAATACACCCACGTAAAAATCAAGATCATCAACCAGAAATCATCAAAAGGTTGATGATACTAATACAACATGCAAATAGAGGAAATTGTCGAGAGGTAATTCTAACGAACAAATTTTGAAATGAAGACACATAAGCTAATGCAGGGGCTGTTGATCTCACTTTTGGTTGAGGTTTAGTTTTTTCCTCTTTAGTAGCATAGGGTCTAGCGGTAGGACTTTTCTACTGACTATTCCTTGAAAACTAGAAAAATAACCCTTACCATTAGAAATTTTACCCTATTCTTTGTTCAACTTGAGGTTCCACATATTAGTCCTGTTGGTCTTAACCTCTAGCACTTAGTAGGTGGGGTCACTATGAGGGAGCTCAAGGAGTGTCCCCCTAGGACTGCCTGTCTTTAGGGTCCAGACCAAGTTCACTCACCTACACTGACTTTCACCCACAATCATACACAACCCTAAACCTAAAATTTCTTGACTTTGTTCCCTTGATCCTTTGAGAGACTCATGTAGATGGACCCCTAAACCCACTAGCCCTAGGTTATGGTATAGCTAAGACCAGTACATGGAGGACCCAAATAGGGATTTCATTGGTCCATAGCTCATATAAGGTGGTTGGTACCCCAATTCTACCAAAATGTCCAACTTAGTTTTTTGCCCCCGAATCCACCCAAATTACCTAAATGCCTTTGAAACCCTAAATTTGGTCAAAATTCTCAAATTCACCCAAAATATTCAAATTTGTTCAAAAATCATTTCAAACCATTTAAAGATACCCAAATTATCCAAAACCACCAAAAAATGCCAAATTTACAAAAATACCCCAAAAATGGCAAAATTACAAAAATACCCTCGGCACCCCAAACTTTCCCAAAACCTCCAAAATCAATTCAAATGTTTCTAAAACCAATTTGAACCCTCCATATGAACACAATCTGACCAATTTGACTATTTTAAACAAAACCCCCAAATTGCCTTAAAAGACCCAACTTTCCCAAATTCACCTCAAATGTTCATCAATTTGGCCCAAATTTCCCTCAATTTCAATTATAAACTCAAATTCACATTTAATATGACCAAACTAAACCATATCTAAGCTTAATTAGCCCATGCTTTGAGCCCAATTTTAAACTAAGTCAAGCCCTCAACTTTGGTCTTATGACTTGATCCCACCAAATTGAATCCCATAGCCTACTACATTTGCGACAATTTATGTTTAAAACTCTTAATAAAAATCCTACAAATCAAAATTGACCTTAAATTTGACTTGGTGAAGCCTCAATTGCATTCAATTTTAACACAAGTCCAAAAATCCCCAAATTTACCCTAAATTGGCTATGTCCCCAAATTCCACCAAATTGATTGTCCTAACCCCAAAATTGACACCCAATTTATGTTGACAACTATTCATGATATTCCTACAGACTATTTTCAATAATCAATTTGGACTTATCCCAACCTTAGCCCAACCTAGACCCAAGTCTAGCCCAATATGCTCAAATTGACCAAAATCCAAAAATCCTACAAATTGAACCCCCAATTAAAATCAAAATCATTTCAATCCTTCACCAAAAATCTTCATTACAATCATCTACATAATGTTGATCAATTAATTGGGCTCAAAGTCATGGCTAGCCTAATCCAAACCCAACCTTTGTCCATTTAGACCCATAATGAACCCATGCACAAAACTTGACATAGCCATGTCAAACTGACCACCGACCCACTACCCTTAAATCAAACCCATCCTTAGCTCTAGGAGCCAACTCACCCCAATTAAACTTTAGAGACTCTTAGCCTACCACCTAAGCAAGCTTTTGCACGCATGACCAGGCCCTAACCTCTCCTCTTCGGCCATGGTTATAAAATGGACCCTTCATAGAAAAGAGAGAGGTGCTGAAATTTTCTTAAGGAGACCCCTCTTAATTGGTCCCATAGTCTCTTTGAGACCTCCTCAATGCAACCCAACCACTTCCGTGCCATAATTCCCCTTGGCGGAGTTCAATTTTTTAGCTAAAATCCTTACCAGAGACTGGACAGAACTCTCCACACCTCCAGAGTGCACAAAAATCAAATTAAACTCACCCACACCTTCATTACAGTGAGAGAAGAAGAAGCCCCATCAAATCCCCCCTCATAAAGAGCCTCTACCCTAGACATTGAACAACACCCAAATTCGGTCTTGATTGAATTTGGGTCTAGATATTTCACCACAACAAGAGGTTCAATCCCTAACCTCCTTAGACCTCCACGAACATGCCGAGCACCTCTGATTGAAGCTTCCCTTCTCAGACCAAAGGTATAAACCCGCCCTCTGTCCCGAGCTTGTTTTGATTCTACACATGCATAGATCCAATTTCATGCCATGTTAGCCATATAAATAGCTTTGTTTAGGCTAGATGAGTCGTTAGAAATAAGCCCGAGTCGATTTGGTTAACTGTAGCTCGAGTTCTTAAGCTTAGAAGGTGGATGGCTCTCGGGATGAATCAGACTAGGATAAAAACGCACGACCGTTGGATGGCGTGTATATAAAATGGATGGGTGAGATGAAACAAGACAGCGCTTCGGTACATAAAGTGCAAGCCCAATCAGCGTTGAGTCAGAAGGTGGCGTCCAACCAGAGCAAGCCACGCAAGCCTTCAGAGTCATCGCATGATGTCGTGGCGCCGCATGGTTTAAGTAGGAAAATAGGATTTAAGTAACTCAAAAAATACCCGCTAACTTCAAAAACCCATATCTTAGTGTAGAAAAATGAGAAAAATATATTAGTGCTCAGTGAATATAAGAGAACAATGTCAAAATTTTTTGATGTTTATTTGATGCATATTTTATTTTAAATTAATTAAATATTCTTTTGAGTATTTTTATTCTCCATGCATTCAAATATTTCACCATGGCATGCTATTTGGGTAATTTGTAGCCTCTGTCATGGGGGATCTTCCCTGATTTTTCCAAAGTCAGAGGAGACTCCTATAAGGAGATAAGTATTTTTCTAGTTTATGTCTATTATTTGCATAAATTAATCATAGTAATTATCATGAGTCTTAGAAAAATCTATGAAAATTTATGTAGGTTCACTATGATCAGAGAACCCTATGAAAATTTATCATGAGCTAGGTCATTAAGAGCACACCTAATTTTCACAAAACCCTAAAACACAAAGGAAAATAATTAGGGAAAAATAAACATCTAAATGACTTGATTATAATTCTCCATTGTAATTTAAAGTTCAGATGACTCCCCATAAAAATTTCAAAACATTTAGAGTTCATTTGATAACCTAATTTAATTTTCTAAGTTACACGCATCTTTTAATGGTCAAAAGAAATTTTTAACACTTAAAATAATCATAATAATTAAAATAGAACTAAAAAAAATATAAATAACTAAAAAAATAATAAATTTGGTTTTTGGGAGTTCTCTGTGATAAGAGGAATTTTATAAAAATAAAATTATAACTAAAGTAAAAATTTCATATTTAAGCATATTTTAAATATTTAAATAATGAAAAATTAATAAAAATCACAAGATTAATAAAATTATGAAAATTTTCTAAATTATTTCCTAAGCTCTTAGAAGCAATTGGAATATTTTTCCTGTTTTTTAATGTGAAGATACCCCAACCAACCAATAACAGTAAAATAGTTAATCATCCAAAACATAATTATTAAGTAAAACACAAATGGTTGACAATAATCCAATAAATAATAATTGTTCACTAAAATAATTCTAATAATTCAATGAAAAATTAAAAAAAATATATAAAATATTAAATTTTTTTCTTGGTTCCTTGACCTTCGTGAGAATTAAGAAAAATATAAAAATTAGTTTTCCACATTTAAAATATTTTATATTTAATTAATACTCTATGATTTAAAATAATTGTAGTAATTCAAATAAAACACAAACGATCATTAAATTTGGTCCAAGTGGTTATCTTCTCTAAGTCTACCTCTAGTAAAAATTTCAAGTTATTAGGTTTTGCCTTTGTCAAGTTATTGAATTTTCTTTGAAAAATCCTATTTTTTCATATAAATAATTATA